ATATTCCCCAGCACACCTTCAAATTGTCATATGTTGTATTGCGGTGTCACAGACAGTCACCTTTATGAGATGCAGCGTCAGTTTTGCGTCAGTATTGCAACGTTACAATCAGTATTAGGCCTCATGCACACACAACGCAAGAGCAAAATTGTATATTGCAGATATGCGTGCACTGTATGCAATCCCAGAACGCATCGTTTTTAATTTAAATTTTAATGTACTGTACGCACAGAAAATACGCCGAAATGAGCCTGGATGCATCTCGGTTCCATTTTTTTTGCGCATCTTTACACAGCACAAATATAAAGCGCCATGCGTAGCTATGTGTATGGAGCCATTTATTTGCATATGCTGCAAAAGGGAAAATACGCAGCGCGCATCTATACGTAGTGTATTGTACGGCAGTGTGAATGCGGCCTTAGCCCTCGGTCACATGACTGCGATGCTTTAGTACGTGCGCTCCCGCCCGCACACTATCCAGCATCTCATGGCAATTACAAATCTCCTTCATTTTTAATTGCCCCAAAACACTTAAAGGAGAATTATGAGGTGAGTGATTTTCACTCAGCCTCATAATCTGAGCCGACCTGTGACAATGAGACTGTCACAGATTGGCTCAGTAGATCGGGAAGTGAGCGAACACATACCGGCGCTCGCTCACTTCTCGATCCTGTGCCAGCAGAGAGCCGTGACAGGGGAGGGGCTGGATTCCCCCCTCTGATCCTCCAGCGCTGACTGGTGGAATGGACGGGGGAGGGGGCGAGCCAGCTGTCACTCACGCAGCTTGTTGGATCCAGACATAATTGTAGGGATCCGTTCCGGCTGTGGCGTCTCAGTATAGCTCGCGGTATACTGAGCTTTGGGTGACGGGAGGACGCTAGATAGTGTCCTCCCGTATCCTTAGGAGAAATATGGGGAAAACGCTAACCCCATAGTTCTCCTTTAAGCATCGCCAGTGCATTGCGTCCCATTACAACGCATTAACCTAATAATTATCATGATTGGTCATGCAATGCAATTTTTAAAAAAGGAGCTTGCACTTCTTTGAGTGTGATCAGATGCAGGCATTTAAATGAATGGGCTGCACTACCGCAATGCACCCCCTCATCTCACCTGTGATGTTGCATCATTAATGTGAATGAGGGCTTATGGTTACCTTGACGTCAGAGGTACCGAGATTTGAGCGTCAATTTTATGATGCCATAGTGGTGTCACAAATAGTATTATGATGTCAAATCATTATTACAATGCAGAAGAATCCTCCCACACTCCTTACTGGAATGTCCCTTGCGGTGGGTGCTGTA